ACACACACACACACACACACACACACACACACACAATTAAAAATGCAATCATCCAGTTGGTGGTGGTACACACCTTGAATCCCAGCACTTGAGGCAAGAGGGTCTCTGAGTTTGAGGCCAGCAAACTACAAAATGAGTTCCGGGACAGCTAGGGCTGTTACACAGAGAAACCCTGGCTTGGAAAAATAAATAAGTATAGCACAACTATACAAGCGGACTCCTGTGCATCTGCAGGAAGAATAATGCAAACATTTTTTATGAACTGCAAAGGAATCTGAAGTCATCATTAAATGGTGGAAAGATGCTTAATAGTGTAATGACACACAAACATCTGTGTGAATAAAGAGAAAAACTGTATGCATCCATGGGCAAGCGTTCCTATAATGTAGACTATCTAGACAGACATGTAAGGCATCCGTTGGTATTAAATACTAAGTTGTTTCTGGGGAAAGGTAAGGGTGGCTGGGTTGTAGAATCTGAATGGAGAGGTTTTTGTTAACTTTTTATTATAAACATGCTGCCTATGAACATACACGTTTGTTTTCATTTGCTTTGGAGACAGGGACTCACTACGTAATCCTGGCTGGCCTGGCATTTACAGAGACCCATATGCCTTTGCCTCCTGAGTGTTTGGATTGAAGATGTGTCATCACACTCAGTCATACCAGATATAATACTACTAAATGGAACTTTTGGGGGGAGGGTCAGTTTGGAGATTAATTCAATAAACTATTGCTTGGCTATTAGTAGGTACTTTATTCTCAAAGTAGAGAAGTAACATAGTCCCTTCCACTTGTGTTTACTTTGAGTTACCTTGTCACTACAATCCCTTGTAGTTGAGTGAGGGCAGAGAGGGCAGACGGTCTCTTTAGTCATAGGGAACGGAATATGGTGTGAGCTCAGAGATGTCCTAAGTTGATGGTTGAATGGGAGGTAAGTCTGGTATTGGGTGGAAGACAGTGTGTAAAGAGGAGAAGAGACTGTGAGATATTGCTTTTCCTTAGCTTGGTGTGATTGAAGAAAGGGGTTGTGGGGAAGTAGGAGGAGGAGGCATGGCTAGAGAATTTGCAGAAACCAGTTACTAAATTGGCTTTGGGAGTTCAGCTGAAGTGTTTGGATTTCTTTTTTGTTTTGTTTTTTGAGACAGGGTTGCTCTGTGTACCACTGACTGTCCTAGAACTTGCTCTGTAGACCAGGCTGGCCTCAAACTCACAGAGATGTCCACCTGTCTCTGCCACTCTCCAGAGGATTAAAGGCGAGCATCACCATTGCCTGGTGTGTTTGGATTTCTTAAAGCCTTTGGTGTAATTTGATTGAATTTGTACAGTAAGTAGACTTTGAAATAAAGATCTAAGTAGGCATACTATTTAGAAGATGTATCCCTACAAGAAATGAAAGGCGAAGGAGTGGAACTGAGGAACTTAGAGAATAAAATTAAGTACTGTTCGGTTGTGAGAGAGGTAGTGACAGTGACATGTATACTTCTGGCTTTCGGGACTGGAGGTGCTTTCTGGAGGCCAGAGGGAATTGGAAAGTATTTTCTCTGACTAGTTGTTTGTTCTGCTTCTTCCTAGTACAGGAAGACAACAAACAAATCCTCTTAAGGTTCACACCTTTAATCCCAGCACTCAGGAGGCAGAAGAGATAGGCAGATCTCTGTGAGATGGAGGCCAGCCTGGTTTACAGAAAGGGTTCCAGGACAGCCAGGGCTGTTAACAGGGAAACCCTGTCTTGAAAAACCAAAACAAACAAAAAACAAAACAAAATCCAACTTAACTTTAAGTACTTTGGCTTTGTGAAGAAAGTCTGGTTTGATTTCTTTAATTTGGTTAGTACCCTAACTGAAATGCTCATGTTCTGTTTTGCAGGGCAAATGACTCAGCTCTGTGAGCTGATCAACAAGAGTGGAGAGCTCCTTGCGAAGAACTTGTCCCACTTGGACACTGTGCTTGGGGCTCTAGATGTTCAAGAACACTCCTTGGGTGTCCTTGCTGTTCTGTAAGGGGCATTTTTTTTTTCTTTTATAATTTTGTGCTTGTTATAACCTGCACTTTTGTGCGTGCGTGTGTGCCTGTGTGTGTGTTTTATTCCAACAAGTCATTGCTTCTTACTGTATTTTTTCTGTTTCATGTTTGTTTGGAGACAGGGTCTCTCTGTAACCCTGGTTGTCCTGGAACTCACTATGCAGATCATGTTGGCCTCAAACTAAGAGATCTTCCTCTGAGTGCTGGGTTTAGTGTGCACCATGATCCTTGACTCCAGTTTTATCATTTTTTGAAAGATTTATTGACTTTTTTTTTTTAAGTTTTTCAAGACAGTTTCTGTGTAATTTCTTTCTGTCTGGCCTAGAACTCATTTTGCCTCTTGAGTCCTGGGATTAAAGCCATGTACCACCACCGCCCAGCCAAGATTTATTGATTTTATGTGTGTGAGTATTTTGCGTGTATATACATATGTACAGCATGCATTCCTGGATGCATTCCTGGTGCACACAAACATCAGAAGAGGGTGTTGTATTCCCCTGAAATTGGAGTTATTGGTGGTTGTGAGCCACCAGGTGGTTGCTGAACCTAACCCAGGCTGTCTGCAAGAGAAACAAGTTCTCTTAACTGCTGAGTGAACTCTCCAGCTTCTAGTTTTACATTTTTGACTCATTATTTGTATCTATACAATTTTGAAATTTTCTTTAATTTTTTTTTAATTATTTTTTAAAGTTTATGTGTACATGTTGGGGGGTGCCCTTAGAGGAGTCAAAGACAATTGTGAGCCACTTGACATGGGTGTTGGGAACTGAACTAAGGTCTTCAGCAAGAACCTCTGAGCCATTTTCCCCTGGGGAATTTCTTTTAAACAATGACTGGCTTTTACAACTATATGGTAATTTACATGTGATCCAGAGACTTACCCACGTTTTCTAACTTAGAAAGAAAATAGGTAGAATGAAGGAGTGGAGTGGAATATGGTGACTGCAGTTAATGACGGATCTTCTATGGCCTGGCACAAATTTTCAAACCTATTGTAACTGAAGATCTTTGTAGCATTATCTCACAGATTTTTTTTTTTTTTTTTTTTTGGTTTTTCGAGACAGGGTTTCTCTGTGGCTTTGGAGGCTGTCCTAGAACTAGTTCTTGTAAACCAGGGTGGTCTCAAACTCACAGAGATCTGCCTGCTTCTGCCTCGAGAGTGCTGGGATTAAAGGCATGTACCACCTGATGTTGTCAGGACATTTAAAATAATGAACATCTGGCCCTAGTCACACTAGGAATTCTGTATTTCTTTTAAAAAAATATTTTTAGATGTATTTTTTTTATTGATATGAAAGAACAGATGGTATGCATATTTAAGATATATGTAAAAATATACTTTTTACATGTATCTGTTTGTATGTGTTTACATGCTGTGCAGTGGTCAGAGACAACTTGTGGGAGCTGGTTCTTTCCTACTGTGGGTTTCAGGGGTCAAGCTCAGTCATCAGTCTTGGCTATAAGCACCCTTACCCAACTCTGAGCCATCTCACCGGCCCACTATTGAGCATAGGCTGGTCCTGAACTCACCATCTTCCTCACTTAGCCTCCCCAGTGCTAATGCCTATAATCATGAAAACATTTTGATACTATATAGTGTCTTACCAGTGTATGTTAGTTATATGTAGATACTGTGTGGAACTTGTGTCTGAGGCCTCATTTAAATCTATATTCTTTCATTTAACGGAATGTGGAGCCCTGAGCTGCTATTTTTTATTAGGTGAGAATCATAGTGCTTCATTGACTATTGTGAAATTGTTTCTGGCATATCTTAGTAGTTGTGAAGCATAAAGTGACATTGTTAAGTAGTGCTATATAGATGGAGGTAGGCCAACTAAAATTTAGATATAGGAGAATCAACCATTTTTCTTAGAATTGATTTTAATAGTTATTGTTTTAAGAAATCATGAAGTTTGCTTTAGTGCCCTAGTGGTGGCAGCTTTCTCTCCTGAAATTCTCTGCAAGCCCATCTGAAAATGTCTCATGGCAGCCAATGCCACCCTCTGCCTAGTTACTCAAGATGGGTCATCTGAGTGCTCCCTGTTATATCCACCCCTCTTTCTTATTTTGCCTGTCAGCTAGTTCTTTCAGTACTCCAGGTAGAAACAACATGAAACTGGCCACAGCATCTTGAGCCTGAGCTACTGCCTCAGCGTCCCATCACACCATCCCTCTCTTTTGCCTTATTCTCTCTAAAACAGGGACAGCAACAACAGATTACAAAAAAGTTATTATGAGTATTTTATTTTGTTTGTTTGTGGAGTAGGGGCACATATATCCCAATGTATAGAGATCAGAGGACAGACAACTTGCCATAGTTGGTTCCTCCTTCCACCACGTTACTCTTGGGGATAAAATTTAGGTTGTCAGGTTTGAATGCAAATGTCTTAACCTGCTGAGCACTTCAATGGCCCTGGCTGTCCTGGAACTTGCTCTGTAGACCAGGCTGACCTCGAACTCAGAGACCCACCTGCCTCTGCCTCTGCCTCCCAAGTGCTGGGATTAAAGGCATGTGCCACCACTGCCCAGAGAGCAACTGATTAACCAAATAAGTGTCCTGAACATACTGGGGCTTAAAAAAAATTAAGTTGGATAGGTATTAAAGGTTTAGATTCAGTTATTCATAGGTGTTACATAACCTGATAATTGACCACATGTAAGAGTTTTTTTCATTCTGAACCTGGCCTGGGGGGTGTACACCTTTAATCTTAGCATTTGGGAGGCAGAACTAGGTGGGCCTCTGTGAGTTTGAGGCCAGCCTGTTGTACTTCGTGAGTTCTGGGACAGCCAGGGCTGAGTAGAGAGGCCCTGCCTCAAGAAAAAAATGCAATCCTATTTTAGGGCTATTTCCTTAACATCTGTTTGTATCTTTGTTCTGTATTGTGAGGAGGGGTAAAAAATCAGGCCAAGAATATTTGGTGAACTCTGATACTTAATTTTTTTTTTTTTTCCTAAAACAGGGTTTCTTTCTGTCATAGTCCTGGAACTCTGTAGACCATGCTGGCCTCAAACTCAGAGATCACTTTCCTCTGCCTTCCAAGTGCTGTGATTAAAGGCATGTGCACCACTGCCCAGCTAGTTTAAAAAAAAAAAAAAAACAACTTTATTTTGTATGAGTGTTTTGTTTGCATGTATGTATGTATGTGTACCACTTGCATACTTGATGCTTGTGGAGATGAGAAGATTGTATCAGATCCCCTAAAAAGGAAGTTATGGTTATGAGCCATAGTGTAGGTACTGGGAATTTAACCTGGGTTCTCTGCAAGAGTAACAAGTGCTCTTAGCCACTGAGCCATCTCTCCAGCCCTGTGGTGTTTAGTTTCACAGAGGCTGGATGGACTTTAGGCTTAAGTTGTTTCTATTCTTTACTATATAAAATATAAGGTAATTTGGTTCTTTTTCTCCCTATTCCAGGTTTGTGAAGTTTTCAATGCCCAGTGTTCCTGACTTTGAAACCCTGTTCTCACAGGTTCAGCTTTTCATTAGTACATGTAATGGCGAGCACATTCGATATGCAACAGATACGTGTAAGCTAATAGTCTTTCCTCTTCTTGAATGTATTTCCCTTTGCAGTGTTTATATTTTCAATATTTTGTTATTTTTGTTATTGTTGCATCTAGTTGCTGGGCTTTGCCATCAGCTAACAAATGCACTTGTGGAAAGAAAACAGGTAAGAAATGTTATTCAAGTATTCATAGTTCTGTTAAAATGTGTGCTTGAGTCATGAACTAGTGTAGTAAAAAAAAGTCTAGGCTCGGTACCTAATATCCCAATATGTGTGGTTCCTTGAGAGCACTCTGGCTAACATGTGATGCCTCCAGGGAGGTGACTGGTAGTGATGATTGTTTTTGAAGCTGCATGTCTGGGCTGGAAATGTGGCTCATTGGTAGAGAGCAGTTGCTTGGCACATATAAGGTACTTGACTACATGCCCAGCACTGAAGGAAGAAAACAAACAAACAAAAAACTACCCTTTGTATTATAATGATGCTATTTTTTTCCTTCTAGCTTTTGATTATGATGATTTTTACCATATCAAACACTGAAAGGATAATATAAAGACTTCTTATATCTCTTGACTTAGATTCTTCAAATGTTAGTGTTTCACTGCACTTGTTTATTCCCTCCCCCACCATTGGAGGAAATTCAATTGTAAATGTTTGTTCCTTATCTTAAATACCTTCAGTGGGAGCTTTCTAGACATTCTCCTAGGCCACAGTGAACATGGCCAGCGTCTGGAAATGGATGTTAAGATAGTGCTCTCACAAAACCTCAGATTCAAGCCAGATATGGCCAGATACATGCTTGATGATCTCTATAGCAAAAGCAGACCTTAGAGCATAGGTTGGTACTCATTGTTTCTCTTTAGTTTACTTTCACTTGGAATGGTTCTTAGACTTTGCCTTTGACACTAATTATAATTTGGGTGTTTCTTTTTTATTTGAAAATGAACTTTAAGGCCAGGAGGCTGAAAGCAGAAGGAGCCTTTGGTATTATGTAGGAGCACTAAACAGTTTGGTTAAAAGCTGTGGGGGTAAAGAGATGGCTTAGCACTTAAGAGCACTGGCTAAGAACCTGGGTTTGATACCAAGCATCTGCATGGTCACTTACAACTGAATGTAACTCTAGTTCTAGGGCATCCAATGCCCTCTTCTGGCCTCCAGGCACTCATGTGGTACATGCAGGCAGAAAACCTATGCACATTAAAAAAACAAAAACAGCTTTGTAGTCCCAGCACTGGAAGGTAGAGGCAGGAGGATCATGCATTCAAGGTTAACCTTGGCTACATATCTAGTTCAAGGTTAGACTGGGCCACACATGATCCCTGTCTTAAGGGTGAGTGACACAACAGTGTCACTTCCTGAGTGGTGGGGGGGGGGGGGGGGGGGGGAGGAGAGGAGAGCTGTTATCATGCCTCTTTATTGAAAAAGCTGTAAAATTATGTAGGTATATTCTAGCTTCTTCAGACCAGAGAGTAATGCTTCACTTGAGGCTGAATACTGTTATTTGTAACTGGGGGTGGAAAACAGCCTGCTTAGGATAGATTCAGTCTTTAGGGCTAATCTTCCAGTGAAAAACATGCAGCACCATCATTCACTTAGCTTCTGTTACAGTGCTAACTGTAGCTATTAGGAAATACTCTAGTTTTGTGTACATGTGTGTGCACATGTGTGCCCATGTATGTGGAGGTCACAGGTTGACACTGGGTGTCTTCTTCATTCACTCTCTACCTTGTTTTTGCCCTCTGACTGTCTAGACAAGCTAGCTAGTAAGCCAGAGAGATCCTCCTCCCTCTAGCTCTTGGGTGCTGGAATTAGGGGCTTGTACTGCCACATCCAGCTTTTAAATGGGTCCTGGGGATTGAACTCAGATCCTGATACTGACATGGCAAGAACTTTACCAACTGAGCCATCTCCCACCCTCAACAAAGTAATACAGTTTATTACTGATATTCATTATAAAAGAAAAAAAAGGTTTTGATTTAAAATATAATACTGAAATTTTCTTAAGTATTCTAAGAAACTTATCAAAACACTTTCTGACTGAATAGAGGCAGACATTTCCTGACATAGTATGGAAACCTTATTGCTATGTAAGGAACCTATCAATTAGTGTTGTTTTTTATTTGTAAGTGACAACATAAGATCCAATGTGCTGCCAACTTTGAGAACTTATCTGAAAGAGATGTCATTTCTGACAGCCCCTTCGAGGAATTGGCATCCTTAAGCAAGCCATAGACAAGATGCAGATGAATACAAACCAGCTGACCTCAGTACATGCCGATCTCTGCCAGGTATGCAGCAAGTGTGATTCACACCTGATCATTGGTGTGAGGCTATTTGTGGGTTTGCTCAACAAGATAATGGGTGGAGTGTGTGTTAAGGGGTTGACATATGGAGGGTGGGACTTACAAATAGGGGTATTGTAATGGTTGTAGCATTTTTTGAAATTTAAGTCATTTTCTATTCAATAAATTATAGAACTTGAAGAGTAAAAACACAGGCAGTGTTTTATACTTAAAACATTATTCATTTATTTATCTTATGCTAAGTAACTCAAAGTCCAAAAGACTCCCCAAAAGTGAGGATGTGTGATGAGGTCTCCCTGTCACTGTTGCTAGCCACAGTTCTTTTCAGAGGAAACCTTCATTGGTACTTTCTCGTGCATTTGTTCTACAGATACTTTACACAAACAAGCAAGTGTAAACACATACTTTTTCTTTGGTTTTCCAAGACAGGGTTTCTCTGTATAGCTTTGTAGACCAAAGCTTTGAGGCTGGCCTCAAACTCTCAGAGATGCGCCTGCTTCTGCAGAGTGCTGGGATTAAAGGCGTGCGCCACTAAAAGAAAAAGAAAAAGGAAAGCCCACAGATCCCAGTAATCTGTGTGGATTTCTATATATCTTGCTTTTTCCTATTTAATGCATCTTGAAGATGAATCTATGATCTCTGTTATGCTAGACTGCATTCTGTAATGTGTGTAGGTTTCATTGGAGCTACTGTGGAGTGTTTTGTGTTGTGGATACCTCTGACACATGTTCCTTTTTTTTTTTTTCAAAGTGCTTTTGGGATAGGAATAGCATATACCTAGTTTTTATTTGATTTGATTATTATTGGGTTTTTGTTTTGGTTTTTTTTTTTTTTTTGAGACAGTGTCTTTCTACATAAGCTCTAGTTGTCCTGGGATTCATTATGTAGACCAGGCTCGTCTCAAACTCGCAGAGATCTGCATGTGTCTGCCTCTAAATACTAGGATTAAAGGCATACGCAACAATACCTGATTGTATCTAATTTTTAGAAGTGGATTGCTCAGTGAATCTGCAGATAGCTCCACTGTTACCATTGTTTAGATATATTACTTTCCTTGTGTGCTTGTTTTTTGTATTTACACACTTGTGGTTTTTTGTTTTGTTTTTAGTTTTTCAAGGCAGGGTTTCTCTCTGTAGCTCTGGCTATCTTGGAGCTTGCTTTGTAGACCAGGCTGGCCTTGAACTCACTGAGATCCACCTGTCTCTGCCTCCCAAGTGCTGGTCTATTTTTGTTTCACTAGTCTGGTAAATTTAAAATGGACAAAGTTGTTCACTCATCCAGAAGCTCATGAGTGGTGAGTGGGTACCAACTGCATCTGTGGAATTCTAATTTTCAATTCATCTGTGGTTTATTCTACCTTAGTGTTAGTATATTTACTTTGTTGTTTTATTTTTGTCTTTTTTATTTTTTCTTTTCTTTTCTTTTTTGATGGAATCTTAACTCTAGCCCAGGCTGGCCTTGAATTTGCAGCAGTTCTGCTTCCACCTCCTAAGTGTGTGGAGGATTACAGGTGTGAGTTACCATGCCCTCGGGAAATGCTTTATTATTCTAGATGATTAAGAAAATGAAATAATGTGTTAATATTTATTTCATTAATCTTAAAATTTTGGAATCTGAATTTTCTAAACCTGCCATAGTAAAATTTAAAATTATTTAACACAAATTTCTTTATAGCTTTGTTTACTAGCGAAGTGCTTTAAACCTGCCCTTCCATATCTTGATGTGGATATGATGGATATCTGTAAAGAGAATGGAGCCTATGATGCAAAACACTTTCTGTGCTACTATTATTATGGAGGAATGATCTATACGGGGCTGAAGAACTTTGAAAGAGCACTCTACTTTTATGAGCAGGTAATCAGTTTTCTAAAGCCTGTTATGAGGTTCGGAACTCATGTGATCAAAACAATCTGATGAGTGTTACTGGCTCATACATACTAGGAGTGCTAAGGTCTAAAAAGACAAGCAGTAACAGTGTTAGCACAGATCCTAGGAATTTAGAACCTTTGTAACTGTGGAACTGTGGGCAGAGTTGCAGAATGACAGGCACTTTGGGAAAGTTTGGCAGTTTTAGATCGTACTCAGGATCTGAGGGCACAGCTTAGTGGAAGTGTGTCTGCCTTGCTCATAAGTTCCAAGTCCTGGGTTGAACCCTAACACCAAAAAACAAACATAAAAAAGATTACAATATTAAGCATGTAATCCAGCAGTTTCACTCTTAAGAATATATTAAAGAGAAATAAAAAACACTATCCACATAAAAACATGTAGAACCAAAAGGTAGGAACAACCCAAATGCTCATCAGCTGAAGAATCATTTAACCACATAAAGAAGGGAGGTGCTGGCCTCAGAATTGGAGCACTTGTTAAGATAAAGAAGACAGTCACAAAAGATCACATATTTATGATGCCTTTTATACAGTGTCCAGAGCAGACAAGTTCAGAGACAGAAAGTAGAGTATGGTTGCTTGAGGTTGTGGGAGAAAGTGAAAAATGGCTGTTTATGAATAGGAGTTTCTTTTTGAGAGATTGGGATGTTCTGAAATTAGATAATGGTATTGCTACCTAGTAAATGTAATGTAAGTGGACATTTCTGTCCCACTCACCATTTCCCAAATAACCACTCAGAGGCTTAGATTAATTACAAATGCTCGGTAGCTCAGGCTTATTATTAACTAGCTCTTACATTTAAATCAACCCATTTCTATTAATCTATGTATTGCCACATGGTTTGTGGCTTTTCCTGTCCTCTAGCATCCCCAGCTCCTGGCTTGAATCTCTCCCTTCTTTATCCCAGTCCTCAGTTTGATTGTCCCACCTAACTATCCTGTTCAGCTATAGGCCAAAACAGCTTTTTTATTAATCAGTGAGAGTAATCTATATTCTTAGTGTACAGAAGGATTATCCTATAGCAATATAATGAAAACCACTGAATTATATACTTTAAAGTGTAAATTTTGTACTCTGATTTATATATCAATAAAGCTGCCACAAGCCTCAAATGCTGACACATAGGCAGGAGCTTGGTAGGCACTTCCTGAGTTCCAGGCCAACCATGGGCTATATATATAACAAATGTCTATCTCAAAAACAAACAAAAGTGTTGTATACTTAACCTGGCAGGGGAGATATTATGATCAACATGGTGAGGCTTCTCCATTGTACTAGGGATCAGCTGACCTATGCTATTTTCCCAACTGCAGGAAACTCAGCGGCATAATTTGAGATAGCTGGGGAGTGTTCACACCCTCCCCTGTTTTAAAAAAAGACTTAAAATAATGGTAGTTAAGATACCTTCTCCACTATTGCTTAAGATTCTTTAGGGTATTGTTTACTACCTTAAATGCTATCGTAGAGCCTTCATCCAGTAAGTGATGGAGGAAGATGCAGAGATCCACAGCTAAGCACTAGGCCAAACTCCTGGAGTCCAATTCTAGGAGAGGAGATAATATCAGCAAAGGGTCAAGTCCGTGTTCGAGAAAGCCACAGAAATAGCTAACCAGAGCAAGTGGGAGCTCACTGACTCCAGACTGACCACTGGGGAACCTGCATAAGACTGAACTAGGCCCCCTGAATGTGGGTGACAGTTGGGGGCTTGGGCAATTTATGGGGCTACTGGCAGTAGAGCCAGTAATTAATCCCTAGTGCTTGAACTGGCTTTTTGAAGCCCATTCCCTATGGAGGGATTCCGTGCTCCTCCCACATGGGGCGGGAGGGGATCTTGGTCCTGCCCCAAATGATCTGACAAACTTTGATGATTCCCCATGAGAGACCTCACCCTCTCTGAGGAGTGGATAGGGTGGGGAGATGGTGGGGGGAGAGGGAACTGGGATTGGTATGTAAAATGATTGTTTTAAATATAAACATTAAAAAAAAAGAAAAACTGGCTCAGCAGGTACTTACTTAGCCTTTTGACTGGGGTCCTAGGAGCCCACATGGTGGGAAAAGAGCTACTCCCACAGATATGTCCTTTGACTCTAAATATTCACTGATGTATGTACATGAGTACACGCAGTAAACAAATAGATGTAATAAAAATGTCTATTTGGACATTATCTACTAATGGACATTTAAGTCTTGCCATTTAATACATGTGATCAGTTGCTGTTTCCTGCTACATCTCCTGACGCTACTCATTCTTCTCTTGCTCAGGCTATTACTACTCCTGCCATGGCTGTCAGCCACATCATGTTGGAATCCTATAAAAAGTATATTTTAGTGTCTTTGATATTACTTGGCAAAGTACAACAGCTGCCTAAATACACATCTCAGATTGTGGGTAGATTTATTAAGGTAAGTTTTAAAAATAAAATGGATTTTCTTACATTCTTTATTAATTTGTATGTAAAAATACTGTAACAATACAGTCTTGTAATTTTATAGTGACTTAGCTCTCCCAGTAACTTGAGATTATCAAATCTATATTCTCTGAGAAGAGTCCAGGAATGTGGTTCAGTCAGAATCTCTATCTCTGCTCCAGTCCATATATATCCTGCTTATCTTGTTAATACCAAAGTTTTCTCAGAAGCCTGTTTCCAGGCCTTGCTCTGTACCTATAGGTCTTTAAGCTCTTGTGGAGGGTGGATTTGTATGTTGTATTTCTTTATTACATTTTAGTCAAAATACTGAAAATGAGGTTCTCATTTGATTAGCTTTAACTTATTCAGATGTTGGGATGTCTACTTTAACTACTGTCCTCTTCCAGTGCTCCCTGACAGCCAAACTTTGGGACAAGGCTTAAAAAATAAAATAATGACTTTTTTGTTTTGTTTTTTTAAGTACATATAGAAAGAGGGCTGGAAAGATAGCTTAGTTGTTAAAGTGCTTTGCGTGAATTTGATTCCTAGAACCCATGTGAAAAGTTGAGCAAGGGAAAAACAAGTAGATCCTGGGGCTCATTAATCTTAGGCAAGTCCTAGGTCCTAGTGAGATATTTTGTGTCAAAAAACAAGTGGATGGCTCCTGAGACATTACAATTAAGATGGACTTCAGGCCTTCATTTGGACACATGCACGTGTGTGCACATGCACAAATACATACATGTGTGCTGGGGACATAGCTCAGGCTTAGCATGCTCAAAACCCTAGGTTCAATATCTAGCTCTACAAAAATAAAGAAATACTACATGCTCATGACCATTTATTTATTTATTTATTTATTTATTCTTCTGGTTTTTAGAGACAGGGTTTCTCTGTAGCTTTGGAGCCTGTCTTGGAACTTGCTCTGTAGACTAGGCTGGCTTTGAACTGGCAGAGATCTGCCTGCCTGCCTGCCTCTGCCTCCTGAGTGCTGGGATTAAAGGCCACCACCTCCGGGTGCCACCACCTCCCAGCTCTTTTGTTGTTGTTTGGTTTTTTTATTTTCTAGACACAGGGTTTCTCTGTATAGCCCTGGCTCTCCTGCTTTGTGGGAAAGTAGTGGGCGGGATCCTTTTAGGGCAGCCGTACTCAGAGCACCATGGAGAGCTACTGAGTTCCTCTAGTGGCCCCTGGGCAGACAGTAGACCTGCTGTAGGAGAAATGCCTTTCTTCATAGCTCAAGGGTTCTACTCATAAGCATTAGTAATGTACAGTAATGTGAATGGTGAGAACAACACCAGTCAGAGGTGTGTTTGAATCTGCCTGGTGATGGTGCTTGAGTTCTTCCACATTCTTGTGGCTCTGCCCAGTTCCTGAATTGAAATAGCAAATTGTCCCATTGCACCTGGCAGGGGATGTGGAGTGAGAGGCAGTTGGGAATAATGAAGATTTTTACCTTCATTTTTCTCATTTAACTTACAGTACAAAAAGTCAAAAAGTAGAACCACTGATAGAGAAATGATGTTTTAGATAAAATGGAACTTCATGGTAATATGAAAATATATATTACCAAAACATACTGCTGTAACTTTTTTCTCACCCTAAACCTTTAGCCTCTCAGCAATGCTTACCATGAGTTAGCACAAGTTTATTCAACCAATAACCCATCGGAGCTCCGGAACCTGGTGAACAAGCACAGTGAAACTTTCACTCGAGATAACAACATGGGCCTGGTGAAGCAGTGCCTGTCATCTCTCTATAAGAAGAACATCCAGAGGCTAACAAAGGTGAGGCAGGTGCTGCCCCTGAGTGCTGGCTTTGGCTGTCCTTGGACTTGGTTTCCTTTTCTTTCCTCTTTAGCACAGAGGAAGCAGGTACAGGATAAAGTGTGGCAGGGTTCTACACTAAGAGAGAATCTGTTGCAGCTGGGTTCTTAGAAAGAGTTTGATTGATACCTTTTGGTCTTTTCAGGGCTAGAGCAGGGTATTTGAGAAGAGGAGCAGGTGAAGAGGAAGAAAGGTAGGCGATACGGCTGCACTGGGAGGCAGAGAAGTAGCCCTGAAGGGGTCACCAGTTCAAAGTGGGGAATGGTGGGTGGCTAGCGATCGCTGGCCTTGAACTTCTCAGGCTATGCTGATCTCTGCTTAGACTTGAGGAGACTGTTACCATTTAGACCAGAGTTAGGTGAGCCACATTCGGTTAAGTTTTAGGATGTAAGGAACTTATTTATTTAGGCAGGATTTTGCTATGTTGCCCAAGTGGGCCTTAAACTCTTGGTCCTCCTGCCTTAGTCTTCAGAGTGCTGGAGTTACAGGTATGTGCTCCACATGCCGTGATCTTCATTTTTATGCTCAAGGTTTCTTATAATAAGAAATGCCTGCTGGGCCTAATGGTGTATGCATGTAGTCCTAGCTACTTGGAAAAGACTGATGAGGGAAGATTTCTTGAGGCTAGCCTGAGCAGCATAGCAAGACTCTGACTGGGGGGGTGGGGAGAAAGAAATATGCTCATTAAATGTTTGAACTGTGAAGGGAAGCATATAAGTTTAAATTCCCTGTTTAAAAGTGTATTCTGGAGAAATGGTTCAGTGATTAAGAACACTGGCTACTCTTCCAAAGGACCTGGGTTCATTTCTCAGCACCCACATGGCAGCTCACAACTGTCTAACTCCAATTTCAGGGGACCTGGCACCTTCACACTTGCAAGTAGGCAAAACAATGCATATAAAATAAAAATAAATTGTTTTTTAAATAATGTATGCTGCAAGTAATAGGAATATTACTAAGAGAAGCTTAAATAGCACTTGGCTTTGGGGTAAAGAGTCTGCTCACAGCCTGGCAGTGACAGCTGGTGAGATGATGGGATCCCATTCCCAAGTTCTGCTCACATCATCAGTATCTGGTGGCAGGGAAAGTTGTAGGAGCAAAATCAGGCTGTAGCCAGGATGCCCAACAGCAGGAAGTGATTTGGGTGGATGCTTTTGGATGAAACCTAAAGAAGCAGTGTAAGGAATTGGGCAGGTGGGGGTAGACAGGTCACTGGGGACACAGGGTCTGGAGAAGAGGGAGTAAGGAGCTGTCACTGATTAGCAGGAGTTATCCCTCCCAATAGTCTATGCACTCTAGAAAGAATAGTGATAGCTTCCTGACTCAAAGAAATCAGCAGAGAATTGGTAAGAAGTTAATTTGTAAGATGAAAATGAAGAATTTGACTCAGAAAAGCAACTCAGAAAAGTTTAGAAACAAATGTAACCTGTCAATTAGACAAATCAACTTAAATCTAATATGGTTGGTTGTGATAGCACATGCCTGTGACCCCAGTGCTTGAAAGGCAGTGGTATGCAGATGTCTTGAGTTCAAGGCTAACCAGGACAACATAGTGAGGTCCTGTCTTAAACAAAGGAAAGAAAGAAATCAGTCTAATGTATGCAGGCATTGTTATGAAAATCATCAGCCACAGTTGAGCATTTTGAAATAGTTACCAGCTTGTACTTTTGAAGTAGCAATATAGCAAAATGTTTTCTAGTTAAGAGAGGATAATCTGGGCTAGGCGTTGGTGGTGCACACCTTTAATCCCAGTACTCGGGAGGCAGAGGCAGGCGGAGCTCTGTGAATTTTAGACCAGCCTGGTCTACAAGAGCTAGTTCTGGGACAGCCTCCAAAGCCACAGAGAAACCCTGCCTCGAAAAACCAAAGAGACTGAGGGAGAGGATAATCTGGAACATGGAACAAAATAAGCACACAAACGAAAAATAAAAATTTTAAGAAAAAATAAATTGATCAAATAAGTAGGGTTTTAAAGTGGTGAGGCCAGAGCTAAGTAAGGCAAATGGTTCATAGCTCATTGTGTCCTGATCCTTCATGTGCCAGCTCATGGTGTAGGTCATCAAATAGTGAGTTCATGAGCACTCTTCGGGGTATCTAGAGGAGAGCCATTGTAAAGTGAGGTAGGCAGGGCAGTGTCTACCCAAAGGCAGATCTCTGGTGATAGCTTCACTTGGCATTAGGTCCTAATGCCAGAGTAATAGTAGCAGAAACGAGAAAGAGTTTCTAGTTAAATGAAGTCTCATTCTTAATAGAAAAATCAGAAAGAAGCTGTTCATAGAAGCCTCAGAAGATAGACCATGTGTGCATTAATGTTAGTGATGGAAACCCTGTCCCAAGGTGGCCAGGTATAGGAATTGTTGGATGGGAGTTTTATCTACCACACCCATTGTGGAGGGGTTACTTTTCTGTCAGTATCTGGACATTGGTTGGTTGGTTGGTTTTGTTTTTGAGACAGGGTCTCACTGTGTAGCCCTGTCTGGCCAGAACTTGCTAGTGAGACCAGGCTAATCTTGAACTCAAAGAGATCTACCTGTCTCATCCTCCATAGTGCTGGGATTAAAAGTGTGTTCAAACATGCCTGGCTGAACATTAGATCTTAGTTTCCACTCTGTGTGTTTGTGAAGACAGTTACTTGTAATAAGGAGCTTGTCAGTCTCTCCCCTTCTTTTCTTTTCTGAACCTCTTTCCATGGCAGCCTAGGCCTATATCGCAGATGCTGCAGTCACTCTCCCACTAGCTATGTCCAGTGGAAAATGCACTTAGGATAGTTTTACTTACTTTTTCCTAATGATGTTAGAATGAGCATTTTCCTATGATGAGTGTTCCTTTGATTTCCTTTTCCACATTTGCATAGCCCTAGATCTTACTCCTGCTTTCTGAGACTTGACTCTTTTCTTACTGTGAAAGTGCCACTCATGTATAGGGAATAACTGTTTCTCATTGCTCCTCCAGAGAATGACAGCTGAGACTACTGGTCTCATTAATTTCAAGTTATTTTAAAATTTTTTTATGTGTGTGTGTGTCTGTGTCTGTGTACATGTGTACGTACCTGTGCACATGGGTGGAGAGCATGTAGAGAATAACATGTGGGAACCAGTTGTCTCCTACCATTTGGTGGTAGGAACTGAACTCAGGTTGTCAGACTTGGCAGCAAGCACCTTTCCTCAGTGAGCCATCTCGTCAGCCCTCAAGTCATTTTCACAAAAAAAGAATTTCTTATGTAGCAATGGAAATACTATGGAATACATTCAGTACATACTTTTTCTTTTCATTTCTATGTGTGATTAATTTACTTCTGACTTCCAGACCTTTTTAACACTGTCATTACAAGATATGGCAAGTCGTGTGCAGTTATCTGGACCTCAGGAGGCAGAAAAATATGTTCTACACATGGTAAGTATGTTTTAAAAGTAGATTTTTGTTTTTATAAAAAAAAAGTGAGTGTCCATTATGGAAAAAAACAAGAGGTTTAAAAACAGTGAATATTCAAAATCAACTGCTGTTGACACTTTGCTGTATTTCCTTACAGTCAAATGTCTTAGTTATGGCTGCAATACTGCAGAGAAGTATATGAGACAGGTAACTTTATAAACAGAAAAGGATAATGTAGCTCACACTTGGGTCCAACTGAGATGGTCTCATTGGTCTGGTCTTTGGTGATGGTGGCACATCATGACAGGAATGTATGCCAGGAGCAAACCAGAAGATAAAGACTAGGGTTCCACAACTCCCTTCAAAGAGGTACACCCCCTAGGACTCTCCCACTAGGCCTTACTTCCTAATGTTTCTTCTCTCCAAGTAGTACCACCCTGTAGACAAAGTTTTCAGTCACAGTGAATCCTTGAGGAAACTCAGACAGTTAGATGTGCTTGTACGATATATACCATGGTTGTATCCAGTTTATATTCCTTATTTATTATTCCTTATTTATTATATTTAAGTCAATTGAAATATCCCTGAAATAGATACCCAATACATAAAGTAGTGCTATTATGCTGATCTGTGATAGGATCATTAGACTACAAGTATGTGTGCTGAAAAACCCTTAATATCAAGAAAGTCTTGCTAAAAAATCAGTAGCTGAACCAGTGTGCTCTGCCGTTGTTGACTTACATTCTAAGTCAAGTTCCATACTTCCTTGTGGGCAGTATCAGTCTGGCTGCACATGGAGTAGCACTAACAAAGTGCTAGGACCGACTTCTACACACTTGGCAACTAGCTTAAAGCATAAAGGTTTAGGGCTAGAGATATGGGTCAGTGGCTTATTGCTCTTCTAAAAGACCTGAGTTCAGTTCTCAGCACCCATGTCTGGCACCTCATAACTGCCTGTAATTCTGGCTAGCCTCTGAAGGCACCTGACACTCATGGCACACACTTACAGACATATACACATAAAACTTTTAAAAGAAAGACTTAGCAGCCCTGGGTGACAGGCTGGTAAGGTATAAAGCTCGAAACAAACACAACTAAACAAGCTGTTACAAGTTGGAACATCACTGAACTTTCTAGCTAGGGATAGGGCTGAAAGCTGCTGGTTGTATTCTGTCTCTTCATGGATATCTTCATCTTTTGAAAATGTGTGTAGTGGGGGCTGGAGCAATGGTTCAGTGGTTAAGAGCACTGGCTGTTCTTCCAGAGAACCCAAGTTCAATACCTAGCATCCACATGATTGCTCACAATGGTCTGGAACTCTAGTCTGAGGGGATCCAAAGTCCTCTTCCGGGGCACTGCATGCACGTGGTACACAGACATACATGCAGGCAAAACACCCACACAAAAAATAATAAATTTAAAAAGAACAAACAAACAAATAAATAAATAAATAGAGAGAAAATGTGTACAGTGAAATACTTACTTAGTGTACCTTCATACACATTACCTAGTAGAATGGTAGCTTAACACTGGGCTGAGCTCTGGGAGTCCACTTGCAGAGAGGGAGGGACTGTATGAGTAAGGGTGGGTCAAGATCTTGACGGGGAGCTCACAGACAGCTGACCTGAGCTAGTAGGACCTGCATGGAACCGATCTGCATTTGGTTGACAGTTGTGTAGCTTGGTCTGTTTGTGGGGCCCCTAGCAGTGGGATCAGGACCTGTTCCTGGCACATGAGCTGGTTTTTGGAACCTATTCCCTATGCTGGGATGCCTCACCCAGCTTGATGCAGGGGGAAGAGCTTGATCCTGCCTCAACTTAATATGCCATGCTTTGTTTACTCCCATGGGAGGTCTGCCCCGTTCTGAACAGAGGAGTAGATGGGGGGGGGGGGGTGTGTGGAAGATAGAACATGGGGATAGGGAACGGGAAGAGAAGAGAGACGGGGAAATTGGTTGGTATGTAAATAAAAAAAATTTTTAACTAAAAAAAAAAAGGTAGCTTTGTAAGAGCCATGCATGTAGATGTATTTGTAGTTTATCTATTTTCAGGCTGTAGTGTTACACTGTGCCCTTCCATTCCAGCTATGTGGCCATTTAAGTCATTTTCTATTCTGGTTACAAAAATGCTGTTGTGGTGAACCATGATCCAGGTATAATTTAAGTCTATCCCTTACAGGGCAAAGAATGGACATTTTAGGCAGCTTGGTTCTTTGCTCACACATGGGCCAAACATTAGTCACACGGAAAAGCTGGGCACAGTGGCTCTTGTTGTAATCCTAGCAGTCAGGAGCTTAAAGCAGCAAGATTCCTATGTGATCTAGCTATGGTGGGTTTCCTAGTGGGTAGTGGGTTGTAGGTCAGCCTGGCCTATAGAATTATACCTTGTTTCAAAACAAACATTGTGGAGCAATTTTTTGGGATCAAAATAGCCATCAGGACTTCTGTTTGCTACTGCTTTTCTAACTTTATGGTTAGGATGTGTTTGTGTGAGATAAGTCCCCAATCACTAGTGCAATTAAAATAGTAACAGACCTTGAAATTACTTTGAAATTAGCAGTAGTAGAAAAGATTGCAAGCCGGGCGTTGGTGGCGCACACCTTTAATCCCAGCACTCGGGAAGCAGAGGCAGGTGGATCTCTGGGAGTTGGAGGCCAGCCTGGGCTCCAGAGCGAGTGCCAGGATAAGCTCCAAAGCTACACAGAGAAACCCAGTCTCGAAAAACCAAAAAAGAAAAAAAAAAAAAAAAGAAAAGGTTGCAGAAAAGGCAGAACATAATTTCTACTGATGAAACAAAAGCGTGTGTAGCCTCATGTTTGAATGTAGAAGTAATAGAAATCATGTCTCAGTAAGCACTTGGGAGGCAGGGGCAGGCTGGTCCTGTGAATTTAAGACCAGCCTGATCTACATAGTGAGTTCCAGGCCAGCAACACTGTATAGTGAGACCCTGTCTCAAACAACAATAAAAATAAGAAGAAAAAGAAATTATGTGACTACGAAACTGTTTAAAGATGCAAGGGCAGAGCTGGGCACAGTGGTACACACTGGTCATCTCAGTACTTGGGGAACACTGAGACAGGAGGATCTCTAGTTCCAAGCCAGCCTGGACTACATATATAGTAAGATTCAGTCTCAAACACAAATCAACCACAGAAAAGAAAAAAAACAAGCTGGGACTGGAGCTCAGTGCTATAGTACCACCTGCCATGTGTGAAGCCTAGGGTTTAATCTTCAGCCCCTCATAATGGAAAAAGAATGATGGTGCCTTAAACATTAAATAAACTGAGACAAAAAAGAATGTATAGGATATGTTGCTATTATAGAAACTGTCTAATCTGAGCTGATCATGGTGTTGCACATGTGTAATCCCAGCACATGAAAAATCAGGAGTTCAAACTCGTCCTTAGCTTCATAGAGTATGAGGCCATCTTGGGCTACATGAGATCCTGTCTTCTGGTACGGGCACTTTCATAGAGAAAAAGCAGGTTAGTAATTGCCAGGCCAAGAGGACGAAGGATAGGGAATGGCTTCTGGTGGGTGAAGGTCTTGAGACAGTTTAAGATGTTTAAGAACTAAGTAGAGGTGGTGACTGAAACCAGTTAAATCCCACTGAATTGTTGACTTTAAAATGGTTAATTAAGGGGCTGGAGAGATGGCTCAGTGGTTAAGAATATAATGACTGCTCTTAAAGAGGGACCCTACGTAGTGGCTCACAACTTTCTATAAATTCAGTTCCAAGGAATTAGAGGCACTCTTCTGGCCTCTGCTGGTGCTTGTACTCATTCAGTGCCATAAATAATAAAATAATTATTATATACATATAAATAATAAGATGTTTAAAACATAATGATAATAATAGTTAATTAAGCCAGCATGATGATGGTGGCATGTCCTATAATTCCAACACTTGAGATGTGGGGCCAAAAGGATCTCAAACTAAAGACAGCCTGGACTACAAGACTCTATCTTGAAGAAAATCAAATAAATAAATAAATAAATAAATAAACAAACAAACATGGGAGTGGTAGGCATACCTTCAATCCTAGCATTAATATAGGCATGTAGACCACTGTGAGAGGTTGTCCAGGTCTGCATAATGAAGTCCAAGCCAACCAGGGTTATATAGTGAGGCCCTATCTCAATAAAGAAAGAGAGTGAGAGGGGAAGAGAGAGACAGAAATATGGAAGTAGGTAAAACAACAGTGGGGGAGATTGTGTGTAATTGTGTCAGCTTTGATCCACTTGGCATCTATCTATAATGATACCTAGTATGTAGCACTTAGTAAACACTGAATAAATAGATAATACTTAAAATACTTGTGCAATTGAGCTGGAGGGATGGCTCAGAGGTTAAGAGGACTTGCTCTTCAAAAGGATATAGGTTTGAGTCCTAGCACTCACATGGTGGCTCACAGCCATCTGTAGCTAGTTCTAGGAGTTACTCTCTACAGACAAAATATCCATAATTTTTTTAAGTAGCTAGGTCTGCGATCCTTGATCCCAGTGTCTGAGACAGAAGATCATAAGTTTGAGGTGTGTCTGGATGACACAGCAAGACTTAGCATTGCTTTTAGAACTTTGATTATATCATTTGACTGTATATTCTGTGTTCATGCCTAAATTTTATGGTTTCCTTCTTTTTCCTTCTTTTTGTAGATAGAAGATGGAGAAATTTTTGCAAGTATTAATCAGAAGGATGGTATGGTCAGTTTCCATGATAATCCTGAAAAATACAATAACCCAGCCATGCTTCATAACATTGATCAAGAGGTAAGCACGTTGCTTGGTTTGGGCATCTTTGACAGTGATTGAGCTGTGTGTTGGAAATGCTCCTGGGCTCTAGGATAGTCTTTTATAGGCAGTTCCTAGCCTGTGGACACAGTTCCTACAATGTTAATTTCAAACGTGACTGCTAGAAACTCTTGTAGATTGATTGAATAAGTATACTAAATGGCAGGTTAGATTTCCCAAATAGATTACCAAAACCTACTTTTAACTCAAGAAACATTGAAGTGATCTGGTGTTTAGCCTGTACCCGACTGCCAGTGTGTGGACTTGTTTATGTGGGAGGCCAGACGGCATCTCCCATGTCAGCTGCAGCAATATCCTGGGCATCTGGAGGAGGGCTGCCGGGTCAGCAACATGATCCATGGCTGTGGGCTGCCTTATGTGTGGGGCCTGCTGCTCTTGAGGGTTGCTTTAGGAATGAGTTGGTTCATCTGGACAGTGTTTCTTACCTTGGAGGAAGGAAATGAGTGAAGTCATGCTACATAAATTAAAAGCTGGCTCTGAGTAGCTGCCTGCTCCTTAATCCTGGTGCTTAGGAGACAGATGATTGTGAGTCTGAGGCCAACCTGAACTACCTAGCAATACTGTCCAAAAATACCAGAACCAACAACAAAATTCCCAGGATAGGGCTAGAGAGATGGCTCCAAGGTTAAGAAACACTGCTTATCCTGAGGACCTGGGTTTGTTTTCCAGCACCCATAAGGCAGCTCACTCCCATCTGTGGCCCCAGTTCTAGGGGATCTAATGCTGTCTTTTAACCTCTTCAGGTACTGTACACACATGGTTCACTTGGTATACTTAAGTATTCATACATGTAAAAAAAAATCTAGGAATCCTAAAAAATAACACAATAGAAAGTAGAACTTTATTACTCTTTTATAATTTGTGGATATCAAAATGTCGCCTAAAATGTTACCTTATTTTGGAACTAACAGGATGGCTCAGTAGGTAAAGGCATGCGCCACCAAGCCTGACCACTTGAGTTCAGTTCCTGGGACCTATGTGGTTGAAGGAGAGAGCCTGACATCTACAGGTTCTCCTCTGACCTCCACATAAGTACCATGTCACATGTGCCTATGCTTACATGTGTGCACAAATACGAAAACACACTAAATAGTGTGTGTGTGACTAACCAAAGCCCCTTGCTAACCATGGTTATATGGTTCTTGCACAGATGCTAAAGTGCATAGAGCTGGATGAGCGGCTGAAGGCCATGGACCAGGAGATCACAGTGAATCCCCAGTTCGTTCAAAAGGTAAACAAGGTTCTCAGGGTGGAGGAGGAGGGATATTACTGCAGTAAGCACAAGAATTTGGTTTCATTTGTTAAACAGTTGCTCACTGTTGTTAAAAATCAGTGACCCATAAATTCACAGAGATGCTTGTTAAGATGTGTCAGGAACTGCCTGTGAGTGTGGCTAGGGAAGGCCCAGGTTGCCTGGTGTTAGTCCAGGGTTGGCTTTTCTGAAGGAGAGACAGGCTGAGTAGCTGGCAGGCCTGCTTTCTCAAGAGTCCTCTGACAGAGTCGATCACAAGCACACCACTTTGCCTTCCCCTTCACAGAGTATGGGCTCACAAGAAGATGATTGAAACTAACGCCCATCCTGAGTTAACAGAATTGTCACCTTGGCCTGGTGAGTGTGAAGAGGGCAGCAGGAAGTGCCATGCCAGTCCCATGCCGGTTCCACCTGGACATTCAGAAATTCAGTTTTAACATCTTCAGTCCTATTGCTTTCAGAAAACCAGTCTCTGCAAAGAAAGAAAAAAATCAAACTTTAGAGTCTGATGTGGATTTATTTATCCTCAGATTATTGTTATTATTGCATTAAAGTTACCTTTTTGTTTTAATCCCTTGAATGTTAGTGTGTGCTCTCTATCAATTTTCCCCCTTTGTAAAGGGGTTTTGGTTTTGGTTTTGCTTTTTTAAGTCAGGTTTCTCAGTGTAACCTTGGCTGTCCCAGAACTTGCTCTGTATACCAGGCTGACCTCAAACTCAGAGGTCGGCCTGCCTCTGCCTCCTGAGTGCTAGGATTAAAGATGTGCACCACCAATATGCAGCTATTGCAAAGGTTTTAATGATACATTCATTGTGAATAGAAATAATTCGCTGGGAGAGTGAGATCTACACTAGAAAATTAGAATTTCCTGTGTTTTGGTGTCAGTGGGTTGGAAACTCTGAGATGCTGTTGGCTCTTGAGCACTTCCTACCCCTGGTGTGCAATCTTCTTGCCATCTTGAGGCTTTTTTCCTTTTCTAATTTTCTTTTTAAATTATATTTTATTTTGTGTGTGTGTGTACTTGGGAGACTTATTCTTCTTCTACCTTGTGGGTTCTGGAGAATGAACTCAAGATTGTCAGGATTGGCATTCAGTGCCTTTACCCAAGGAGCCATTTAAATATCCCCTTTTCTTCTTGAAACATCTTCAGGTACTCTGCAGAGATTTTTGGACTTTGTTCCTAGTCCCATTGCACCTTGGCCAGAAGTCACTGACCGGTGGTGGAGAGTGTTGGCGAACTGTGGTCATATGAAAACACAGTAAATTTGGTATTTAAAGGGCCAGGAGTATAGCTTAGTAAGAGCAAGCATAAAGACATAAGCTTAAATCCTCATCATCCATGTAAAAAGCTGGACATCACTATGTGTTGTTATAACTATAGCAAACACTGGTGGTTCCCAGGAGCTCACTGACCAACCAGCCCGGCCAAAGTGGTAAACTTTGGTTCAGTAAAAGTCCTCAAGAAAGTGAGGTAGAGAGCAATAGAGAAGACACTCAAGGTCTTCCCTGAGCCTCCACATGCATGTGCCCACCTGCATGCAACACACAAATTTTAGAAACAGGTTCTCAGACTGGTGATGGCTCAGCATATAGTACTCATAGACTGACAACTTGAGTTTAGTTACTTCAGTTCAATCCACACATAAAAGTGGAAAGAACCAATTGCAGAGTCATCTTCTACCTCCACATGAGCACCGTGGCAGGTACATGCCTACACATGCCATACAATAATACATTCTTTAAAATACACACTATATTGGTTTATAAATGTTCTTTTCGATTTGTACAAGGGTAATACTATTAAATATCATTATATAGGTTTGATTATAGAAACAGTATCTAATGAAAAAGTACAGTAATTTTTCTGTGGGTTATGGTGTAGTTCATTGCTAGAATATTCACCTAGCATTCTCAAAGTCCTGGGTTCCATCCCTAACATTAAATATACAAATTATTTTTCTTTAAAAATACCTAGCAGGCCATTGAGCTGGCTCAGGTCAAAAGGTACTTCAAGATAAGCCCAGTGAGTTCAAACTATAGGATCCACATAGTGGAAGGAGAAAAAGGACTCCTGTAGCTTGTCCTCTGTTGTCCCCCATGCACATCATATCAGCCACCCCCACCCCATGTCATAATTTTTCTCACTAGCATGGTTTTTGACACAAGGCCTCATTATGTACCCTGGCTGGCCAGGAAATACCATGGAGACCATGCTGGCCTTGCCTTGACCTCACAGTCATCTGCTTGCTTCTGCCTCCTACATTCAAGGATTAAAGGCATGCACCACCATGCCTGGCTCATTGATATTTTTTCCAGTTTTTTTGTTTTGTTTTGTTTTTTCAAGACAGGGTTTCTCTGTGTAGCTTTGGAGCCTGTCTTGGCACTCACTCTGTAGACCAGGCTGGTCTCAAACTCACAGAGATCCACCTGCCTCTGCCTCCCAAGTGCTGGGATTAAAGGCGTGCACCACCTCTGCCTGGACCCAAATGTTTTAAGATGTATGACAAATGACATCTTTGTTATTTATTTATTCATTTACTTACTTTTAGTCATGGGGATGGAACCCTAGGTTTGCTAAAAGCTAGGCAAGAACGCTAGCACTAAGCTGTTCTCCAGTCTACATTTTCATTAGTTAAAAACTTCAGGGCCAGTGAAAAAGCTCAGCAGGTAAAGGCATTTGCCACCAAGCCTCATTACCTGAGTTCAGTTCCTCTAACCTACATGGAAGAAGGAAAGAACTGACACCCATATGTTGTCTTGACCTGCACATGCATGCTTTGATGCTGTGTCACACAAGTACATACACAGGGTAAATAAACGTGGGTTTGTTTTGTTTGTTTTGTTTTGTTTTTAAGGAAACCCTTGAACTGGTGGGAAGCCTCAGTGTGTAAAGGTACCAAGCCTGAGAACCTGAGTTCAAGCTCAGAACCCACATGGTGGAAGGAGAGGACGTGTTCACTGACTGCCACAGTTGCACAGTAGCATTCTTGTACATCGTACACATAAGTGTAAAAAAATGTTTTTAATGAAACTCTTAAACCTTCCAAGTCCTGTAAAGTGGGCCTACACTGGTAGTTGACCTGTCCTTCGGGTCCTCTGGATTTGATAAGTGACTCCTCTAGACTCAGATTCTTTTCCATATAGTATTGCTTGTAGTTGGCATCCTTTAGGATTGCGTAATACCTGTGTTTTGGAAAGAGGACATATTTAAAGGGAATTTCTTTTTTGTTTGTATAGTGAATTATGGACTTTTTTTTTTTAAGGTGAAGTTGAGTAGTATTTGCTTAATCAGATCTGAAATTAAAATCACCTATAATGTATAGAATTCCTAACAGCTTTAAGTGGTAAGGACTCTAGTGATGTAAATGCTATTATATTTATTTCCCAAGATAGATTCATTAAAATTCCACATTGTTTGAAAGTTTTTGAGTTCAAAGGGTTGTGACATCTCTTACTTAAGATTCTCTTACCTGCTAGCTCATAGACCCTTATCATCCCTGAACCAGTGTTGGGGGAAATGAGGGGTACTTTCAGCTTTGCTTTATAAACTCCTGTGGAGCCAGCAGGAACTAGGACTGTAAAGCTGGCGGGAGAGAAGAGTTGCCAATCTGCTTGGATAGTCCCAGTTTCAGATCACATTCTCCCATGCTCCTAGAATTAGCCTCAAAGTGCCCTAATGGACTCAAGTCAGGAGTTAAGCTCCCCATCTCCACTCAGAAGGCAGGGACCCTGTCTCTTGAGGGCCCTCCCTAGGACTTTTGGGTTCTTCTAGGCTTCCCAAACCTTAATGAGCAGCTCCTGTTTCCCTTAGTGCCACTTGCTTTTCCCATACCTGGTTGTGGAGTCTTTGTTTCTCTGATTTGAGCTCCTTTTGCCAATCCATTAGGTCCACAAGTTTCATGCCTTGCTCACTTCTGAGAGCATTTAGAACTTCACACCTGTTGCCTGATGAGTGGCTTCTGAAGTTTTGCCTGTCTTGGCTTTGGAGCAGTATCAGGCCCATTTAAATGCATGCATAGTTAAGGTGGCCTTAGCTATCTGTCTGTCCTTCAAGGCAATTCTCTGCAGCAAATTCCTTTGTGAACATATTGACACATGAGTGCCTGTAGCATTTGTATGATGCCAGAGATTGGCAAGTTTGTACTTAGGGAATTAGGTGTGTTGCTGATATCTTGGATGGGTGTTCATTGGTGGAGGAATTACCAGTCCTCTGAGAAGTTTTTCAAGTTTTGTGTCTCCATGGTAATCTCAAATGTTTTTTCTTTTATTTTTTTTTAATTTTTTTATTAGTCCAAATTAGGAACAAGCTTGCTTCACATGTCAACCCCTTCTCCCTCTCCTTCTCCCTCCCCTACTCATTAATTACCCCCAGAATCCAGTATCTGCATTACATTTATGTTTTTATTTGGGTTGAAGCAATTAAAGAGCCAGTTTTTAATTAAAAATTACAGGGACAGGGTGTTGATGGTGCACACCTTTGATCCTAGTACCGAGGAGGCAGAGGCAGGGGGATCTCTGAGTTCATGGCCAGCGTGGTCTACAGAGTGAATTCTAGTACAGCCAGGGCTACACATACACACACACACACACACAAAACCCTATCCCAGAACAACCGAAAGAGAAAAAATAGGTTTCTCCTTTTGAAGAGAACTCATGACGGAGCAGCTGCCTCTGTGCTAGTGAGTAAAGAGCTTATAAAACTTTGTACAAGCCAAAATTAGTGACAATGGCTGCTTTTATTTTAAATATTTTATTTATTTTGATCTTGTTTTCCACATTTTCCTCTTAGTAGCAGGTGTTCTTTGTGTTCCTGGAATAAATCTGCAAGAGGTAGGCTAGAGCTCTATACAGCTCTATTCAGCTCTATTCTCCAGCCCCAGGGCTATTGAGACCAATGTTTGTTACTGGGGATTTAAGAAGACCAAATTCTTTTGCTATTGGTTTTTTGGGGGGGGGTGTTTTGGGGGGGTTTTGGTGGTTGTTTTTTTTTTTTTCCTCCACCTAGTAACTTTAACTCTGGGGACTGCCTCCTGGATTTGTTTGTGGAAGCCTCATTCACATTGTCCTTATTTTCATGAAGATGAGGGCTACTAGACCACTGGCCATTTCAGTAAAGTCCACTGAGCAGTCACTTTTGATGTCTCTCTCAGTTACCCACTCTTTGGAGGTGATTAAAAAAAAGATTTTTGGCCAGGCGTTGGTGGCTTAATCCCAGCACTCAGGAGGTAGAGGCAGGCAGATCTCTGTGAGTTCGAGGCCAGCCTGGTCTCCAGAGCGAGTGCCAGGATAGGCTCCAAAGCTACACAGAGAAACCCTGTCTCAGGGGGGAAAAAATGATTTTTGTGTATAGTGTGTATAGGTATTTGCCTGCATATATGTAGTGTGTGTACTACGTGCATGCCTGCCTGGGGCCCACAGAGGCCAGAAGAGGATCTTGGATCATCTGGAATTTGAGTTAATAGGACAGTGAGCTACCAAATCAGTATAGGGATTCCAACCCAGGTCCTCTGCAAGAGCAGCAAGTGCTCCTAACCACTGAGCCACTGCTTTAGTTCCCCTACTCCAAACCTTTTTTTCTTTTCTTTTACTTTTTTTTTTTTTTTGAGACAGGACTCTGTGTGTAGCCATGCCTGTCCTGGCACTCTCTCTGTATATCAGGCTGGCCTCGAACTCACAGAGATACGCCTGCCTCTGCCTCCAGAGTGCTGGGATTAAAGGCGTGTTCCACCACCATCGAGCAGCTAGAAAGATGTTTTCTTTTAGCAACAAGGAGGCTTCCGATGCTCAACCTTTCACCAAGGTTATTCCAGTTTCTTGTGTATTCCAGGCTTGCCTGAACTCCTGATCCTCCTGCCTTCCTCATCCTCCCAGTGTGAGATTTCAGGCGTGTTTCACCACCCTATGATTTATGTTGTGCTAGGAATGGAAACTAAGGCTTCTTGCACGATGAGCAAACACTACCAGGCTACACGCCTAGGCCCTGGTTGTTTTTGTTTTCTTTGTGAGACAATGTCTCCCATCCAAGAACTAACCAGGCCTAACTGTTTAGCTTCCAAGATCAGATGAGATGGGGCGTGGTGTGGCTATAGACTAATAAGACCGTGTCTCATGTCACTCAGGCTAGCCTTGAACTTCAACCCTAGTTCCTCCTGTTTCCACATGCCCAGCTATATTGATGACAAAAGTAAAATTAGGGCCGAGTGTGATGTTCACATCTCTAATCTCAGCACCTAGGAGACAGAAGCAAGGAGATCTCTGTGGGTTTGAGGCCAGCCTGGTCTACATAAGGAGTAAGCTCCAGGCAAGCCAAGTCTACACAGCGAGACCCTGTTTTTGAAAACAAAACTGTAAAATTAGAATTCCAAATCACTTGAATTTGCCCAGGAATTATCTTGTAACAACCTCTAAATCAAGTTTACTGAGTCCAATTTATAGGTGCCTCCCCTCCACCCCCAGCAGAGGGAGATTTTCAAAGTTTTATGGCATAGGAGCAGAAGAAGGTATGCTGCTGGACAGCTATTAGTGTAGTTACAACAACTGCACAAAGAGGCTTAGCAACCAGGAACAGACAAACCTCAAGAGTTTTCCCACCTCAGCAGAGACAGTGACTTCCAGACCTCATTGTGAACTTTAGGCAACCTTTGGAGGGCTGGGGTTCTTCCCTGTCCAACTGGGTTTGTTAGTGCTTCCCTGATTGGTCCTCCTTCCACCTCATTTGCATATTCACATTTTAATAATTAGGCCTGCCACGCACCCTGGAGCCTCTATAAATTAAGATATTCTGGATCTGAAGAGCCAGAGTTGCGGCAGAATTCCACAGAGAAGGAAGAGCTGGAAGGCGTGAGTCCCTGGTTCTAGGAGCCTGGCCCCAGATGCCTCTATTCTCTTCAAAGGAAGACTCGTGAAGACTTCAGGATCCAGCTCCTAGCTGGCTCATCTATCAAAGAAGGAAGACTGCCTTGAGGACTATAGATGCCAAAACCACAGCTCTCATCATAAAAGGAATAAAACATAGTTTATTCTGAAGCCATTTTGAATAACCATGACCTGGCAACACAGAGTTAGGCTACCCCAAATTAAATGTCCCAAGGTGTATAGTTTTACAGAATAAAGTCATAAAACAAGTCAAATTTAAAATACATTGTTGGGTACCTCAGAGATGCACGTAGAGAGAAATGGGAGAGCTTCTCTATAGACCCAAGATACTACCTGAGCTTTGGGATTGGTGAGTTAATAGTTATCTAGTTGTTCTGACCCAGGTGAGCAATGAATGGCTGTTCTGGAGGGTTAGAACTAGCCCAAGCTAAGGGAACTAGATTTTGGACTTGCAATATTCCAATCCCTCTATAGCACTGAAATTCTTTTTGGTTTTTCAAGACAGGGTTTCTATGTAGCTTTGGAGCCTGTCCTGGAACTCATTCTGTAGACCAGGCTGGCCTCGAACTTACAAAGATCCGCCGGCCTCTGCCTCCCAAGTGCTCGGATTAAAGGTGTGCACCACCACCGCCAGGCCATAGTACTGAAATTCTAACCAGCCAGTTCTCACAGACAAACTTATTTACATTTGGGAGGCTCCTATGGCTGAGGCTCTGGGGGGGATTTGCTTCAGTTAGCTCTGGGACTGGATCGGTGGGTGCAGGCAAAGGGACGCATTCCCACCCCAGCCTCCAAAGCTTCTCATGGCTGAAAAAATAAATCTATTGCTGTTTCTGCCCTGGAGACCTGCTGGAGCCTGGAGACTGCTCTCCTGCTACCCCCTCAGTGACCTCCAGACATGCTCCATGACGGCTGCTTTTGGTCAGCAGCCCCAATCTTCTGATTCCTTTCCAGCGTAACGGTTGGTTCTCAGAGCCATATTCACAGCTGTGCTGGCTCTTCATAACATCCCACTGCTACGGAGAGTTCAAACCTGTTTCATTTATATCCGAAGTGGCAATCTGTTTAAAAGTTGCTTATCCTGTTTAAGGTCGTTAACCCCAAGTTGTCAAGTATCTCCTTTCTTACTCTGCTATCTGTTTACCCCATTCTGGGATGAGGGTGAGACAAGAGCCTCTTCAGAGACAGGAGGTGGTCTCTGTCACTCACTCACAATATCAGAAATAATTGGATTGGTAAGAATAAACACACAAAGGCAATACCTAACACTGTAACTCTACCCTGCACTCCTTAAATCTTTACCTGTCTGGAAACAAAGGTATAAAACACAAGTCTGCAATTTCATTTTTTTCTCCTGTTCCCTCTCCAACAAAACGGGGAAGTTGAAATCTAGAGAAAGAAATCTGGCCCCCATGATTTGAAAAACAAACAAAGTAACCTACCAACTACTTCTAC